GAGACAACACTGAAACTGTATCTGCAAGTGAATCGTTATCTCAAATAGTGTCTCCGAGGTTTATAAGGGAATGAGAAGTTTCATGTGAAAAAGTACGTTTCGCCAACTTACTGGAGAAAGCAAAACTGATTCAGGATTTTTAAATTTTTTCCCCCATGAAAGAAAATGAAGGGTTGGGGAATTAAGCCTATTAGTATAGGTCTACATATATATATGTAGACCTATACTAATAGGCTTGTGAATCGTTATCTCAAATAGTGTCTCCGAGGTTTATAAGGGAATGAGAAGTTTCATGTGAAAAAGTACGTTTCGCCAACTTACTGGAGAAAGCAAAAGAGATTCAGGATTTTTAAATTTTTTCCCCCATGAAAGAAAATGAAGGGTTGGGGAATTAAGCCTATTAGTATAGGTCTACATATATATATGTAGACCTATACTAATAGGCTTAGTATAGTATAGGTCTACATAAAAAAAAAAAAAAATAATAATAAATAAAATTTGTACACGTTCATGAAAGCCGCTCCTAATTTCCTAAGTCACTCATTTTACCCGGTCAGCAGAGCACAGCATTTCCTTCCGAGAATGACCTCACCTTGAGGCGCTCTGATTATGTGTACCATAAAGCTGGGCTCTGTGGGCACAGAAAAGAAAAAATGTCCCATGGCTGAAAAAATGAAAAATACGAAGACTTAAAACATCTCCTTGAAATGTTCTGCACACACAAAAAGCTGTGGCAGGGTGAAATGACGTCCTTCCTAAAGTTAGCTGAAATAGCAGAGCGTTCTCAGCGCGCTACAATCTGGAGAGGCCGAGTTCCACATGCGTGCGGCTTCAGCCCGATTAATTCAGCTTTGATATTTCACTTCTGACCCTTCAGATCCTGCTGGTGATAAGCACACGCAGAACGGCAGGTCGCCAGTAGTCATCAGAGCTGTTAGGGAGGATGAAAGCCCATGCAGCCCCTCCACACGTTAGCATGGGAGTCCCACACGGGGCGGCTGCGGTGAGATTCATCTCTCTTATTCGGCGCGGAGGCTAACTTATTTTTTTAACTGGGTGAGAATTTTAAGTACTGACCAATGCAAGTATTTCTCTTTACTTCTATGGTAGTGTGGTTTTGATTTTATTTTACTTTTTTTGGTACCACGGATCAAATCGGGGACCTTGCACTTGCGAGGCAGGCGGCGGCACCACTGAGCTAAATCCCAAGCGGGTTTTGATTTTTTTTTTTTTTAAAGAATTACATCTCTCCTCTTTTGGACAATAAAGCTGGCTATGACCACATTTCTTTACAATGGATTCAATTACCCTACTGCTTTGCATTGTACTTTGCCGACATTTTTCCTAATCACAAGAAGAAAAACGTTTCCAACAAACTTGAATCAAACATGCAGCAGACTCGGTGAGAGTCCGCCGGCTCGACATGGGGAAGGATACATTTTCTGAACTAATCTCTGTAGCTTCCTGGGGCGCTTAGCCTGTCGTGAATGCACGGCATTTCGAATCAACGCTACGTTTTTCCTGCCCGATGCCAACATTCTATACATGTCTGTAGGAGACGCTTTAAAATGCAGCCGCAAGGCACCTGTTCCAAATCACGTGTCCTTCGCTGCTGTCATTTTGCAAACGAGGTAGAGTGCGCTTGGAGGAACCAAGGTGGCCACACTGCTGCTATGTGATATTAGCTATATGGCAACAACGGCCCTGGACATCTAATCAGGACAGACAGTGTTCTTGGTGCCTGCTATCAGTGGCCTCTGGTAAGGCAGCTCTTTGCGGAAGAAATGAAGCTTCGGCTGGCTGCGTTTGCTAGGTTCCTTGCTGTACGACCACTTTGTACGCATTCCACGGTTGACCAAAACATTAGGTGGCCCTGTGACGGCTGTATTAATCGTGCACTCCTGCAGTGTATTCTGGGAAGTGCCCACGGCCATTCACGGAGCGTGGTGCGTCCAGCCAGTGTAGGCGCGCTCACCATGCCATGATCATTATCTTATGCAGACTGTTTTCACTCGCTTGAAAGTGAGACGAGAGGAAGAGAAGAGGCACTCAGGATATGAGGGCTGGTAACACGGACATGGATTTGATTAAAATCTATTGTCCACATTGGGCCAGATGCGTGAAAAATGTGAAACTGAAGGGGAGACAGAACAGGGGAAGGCGTGTGTGTGTGTTGTGTGTGGGGTGAATAATGTATGCTATGCATACATACGCATCTGCCAAAATGAAAGCCATTCATCTGTATAACCTACATGCACCGATGCAAATGTGTCGAAAAATGTGCCACAGAATTCCTCAGCAAGGTATCTACCTACCTTTGAAGATAAATTTCATCCTTAAATAACTCGAGTTGAAATTGGGTTGAGATTTTTAACAACAGTGATTCCTACATCAAAACTTAAAGCAGCAATTTTCAATATGCAGTAAACGGCAAGTGCCAGTATTGGTTCATACGCCAAAGTTTAAAGCAACCATTTCTTAATACGCATTGTACAGTCCATATTTAATTCAAAATTCCCACTTGAATGCAAAAAAGTTCTCCAGTTTACAGTAACTGCTTGGTGGGTTCTTTTAGTATGTAATGGGAATAATGGTATTATATCATAATTCCTTAAAGCAAGGATATTTAATTTATAATGAATAGTAAGTGTTTAACTCACAATTCCCATTTTAATGCAAAAAGTTATCCGGGTTAGTTATTGTGCTGTGAGCTCTTTTAGAACATAAAGGGAATAATGATACCGGAGCATTCGATTGAGTCATTCAATTGGTGGAGACACCTATATTAAGGAAAAGACATTGCATAGAAAATTAAAAGAGCCAGGTTTTGAAAGAGCAGAAATGAAATTTTAGCTCAGCGTGCCTTGGAAATCAATATTCGAGCGGTCTGGAATTGTTAGATTTAGGCCTTGAATGCATCAGGACAGACGGTAATTGGATCTGGAAGGCATTTCCAGAGAGTCGGAGTTTCCTGGTATGAAGGAAGCACCGTGCCGTTAATGCAGATCTCTGAAGAAGGAACGAAGCCTGCGTCCCAGTGGCTGGCTGGTAAAAACACCCAACGTGGCCAATTCGGGATGGTGTAACAACCAGCTGTCAGGACTGCTGAACAAACAGAAGTTGGCTCCACCCTCACACTGCCTGATGCTAACCTCTGATCCCCTATTTCTCTCCTCTCACTACACAGTACTGTGAAGTAGGGGATAACCCGCCCATGCTTACAAGGTATACAAGAGATCCACACTGGCCCATGATTACTGGCAAACTTCTGCCAAAGTAGGTCTAAGGTGAGACCCACTCAGCCAGTCCTAGTGCAATTTCTCCTTTCTTCAGTGGACAGGAGGCTCTGCACGCGAGAGAGTCACCTTTCCTTGTGTACCCTTCGATTCCCAGTACTTTGCACATTTCTCAGCACGGAATGCTCTAGAATGTAAGCAACTTCTGGGTAGATAATTTTGTCTGTTCTGTCCACTGGCAGATGCCCAGGCGAACACAGCGCATCCTTATTGCACTTGGCCCATAAATATTTGCAGAGAGTGGTGATTAGACAGAACCCTAAGTAGCAAACAGCAAGACATGCATGAAAATCACGCTATCTGAGTTTCAGATATACTCTGAAGCCTGCATCAGATATTCACAGAAGCCAGCATGCACTGAATCAAAGCTGCTAAGTAAACAAATCCAGCCTTGAGATCCTGCGATGCACCTCTTTCTGTGGCTGCCTCCAGGCAGAAGAGTTTAAGGAATTGCACTTAACAACTTTGTTGCTTGTGCCTAAGAAGCAACTTTCATCTCAGGACCTGTTTCCTACCAGAAACTGGGTCTTGTTTTTCTCACTTATTCCTACTTCCTCTCTTCCTGTCTCTTTTCTCTCTGCTCCTCCACAGAATGTTTCCCTCCAGCCTCTGATCCAATATGTTCCTTCTGGCTTTGGTAAGGAGGGGAAGGGTGTTGGCTGAACAGAAATGCAGTTCTGCAAAGTTCAAGACATGACATCACACTTTAAACACCCAGGAGCCATAGTTACTTCCTTCAAAATAATCCTCGAGGCACCACATAAAAAGAAATTAAGAATATGGCTTTCACTGACTAGAAGGTTCAGATCTAAATGCTATAAAATGACCTAAAAAACCAAAAGAAGAATATACAAACAAAAAACAGTATTTCTATGTTGTTGTGGACACAGGGGTGAGACTCTCTGCAGGTCTAGGCCATGAATTTTGTCTTTTAGAGCACAGAACAAAGAAATACTCTGAAATTAGCTAGAAACCAACAGCTATAAATGATTACATCTTCCACAAGAGTCTGGTCTCCTGGATTTGAATTCCAAAGAGGGGAGGGCAAGTCCAGTCTCAACACCTACTTCAGAAAATGTGAAAGCTGCGCAATATGCTGAATTTCCATAGACTCCTAGGTGTCTTAGTGACATGAACACCAATGTCATTCAGAGCTTCAAGGACGTAAAGAAAACCTCAGGTCATGCTGAGGAAGCCAGCGTACCGCTGTTTATTCATTTATGTCTGTTAGGCCTTCCACGGGCATTGGGAAAGCCAGGTTAGAACTCGTCGCTGACAGAGTGCACGGTTTAAAGGACACTGCTTTGGGAAGTTCGATAACTTCCACGCGTTTTAACTTTGCTTTAATGATCTAAATCTAGCAAATAGATGTGAGTGACGAACTACAGATTTGACAAGTGGTGATCCAGCAAGTCTGAGGCTGAGCAAAGCAAGTGAGGTCCCTACTGAAACGACAGTCATTCATTCATTCTCTAACAGTGCAGTACCAGAAGAATGAAGAGAAGGCTCTAAGAACAGGAGGCCTCTCAGTAGAGTGTAGGGAGGGACTCGAAACCAACTTCTAGGAAAGAGAACCAAGCAAAAGACATGCACAGTTTTTGGCATCTGCTGGCCTCCGTAGAACAAACCCCTCTGTTCATCTCATCTCTCCGCATGGCATAGACCACACGGCCTGAGAAGCACGCAAAGTTCCCCGTTACTCACTGTTCCGTGGGTGCCAGCGCACAGCGTTTAAGTAGGCGTTGCAGTAGTGGAAGAGAAACTCGTGATCTGAGTGTCGGTTTTTTCCTTGGATCAGGGGCATCAGATCTCTCCCGTCAATGACCCTGCATGATAAATCATTTCTTCCATCAGTCGTACCCCTCGTCCTTGCTCACCCTAAAACATCTTCCTGAGCAATGAGACAGCTGCACAGACCCAATGCAGTCATGCACACAGAAAAGAAGAAGTAACCCTGACCAGGCGCCGGGTACTTCATCTGGATTCTGGCTCCATTCGGGCGATAATTCCTGAAATCCCCCAAATGCCGCCCCCTGAGTGGAGGCCGTTGTCCCTGAGGGGCTGAGAAGACTGAGGTCTTGGTGTTGATGTGATTTTTCTGAGGTTGGGTGACTAGTGAGAGCCCATGTGACAAAACAGACAATTTCACATCCAGCCTCTCATCTACTCTCCCTACTGCTTCTCCTATATCCAATTTCTAGATCGCTACTTTGCCAAAAGTAACCCTTTATGCATCGATTATAGGTCGGCTGAAAATGAGAGTTCCGGGTAGTTGGGATGAAGACAGATACCATACAGCATGGGATCAAGTGATCAGACAGGCTTCACAGAAAGTGTTTCTCCATTGGAATGAATTTACCCTGGGGATGGAACAATTATTCCCAAAGGAAAGTTTATTTCCTCTACTACCGGGTGTCTAACAAGACGGAGAAGAAAACTATCCAGACTGCAAAGAGACACGTACAGTTAGTGATGAACAAAATAAGTTTTTTTTTGTTGTTGTTTTTTTGGAGGGGGGATTCAATAAAGGGGAAACCCTAAGAGCTCCGTGAGGGCTAATTATAAATGAGTGGTTACTCGAGCCCTTCAAGCTACCGATACCAATAGCACTCTTATTAATTATGCACCCCACAGACCTCTACAGACTGAAAATACTCTATTATCACAAGTTAAAGATAGAGCAAAACGGAGCCGGAGATTTAGCTCAGGGGTTCCGTCACCTGCCTCGGAAGCACAAGGACCCGAGTTCGATCCCCGGTACCAAAAAAAAAAAAAATAAAAAAAAAAAAAAAAAAAAAAAAAAGACCAAAACAAGGCTTGGCTCCCTTCCCAAAGCCACATGTCCTTCACCACCAGCGGGACAGAAAGAAATGAGGGAGACGCAGTTCCCCTTCCATGCAGCTGCCCGTTCTTTGCAACGCTGTTCCCCCCACTGAAAGGATACTCCTAGCGCTTCCTGACTCTCAGAGCCCTTTCAAGAAAGACCCCAGGCCTCTTCGGGTGACATCCTCAACAAGGACAGGAGGGAAAAGACAGTGAGGAGGGTGACCGGCAAGGACGATGACACCTCCCGGAGGAGGAACAGGAAAGAGGACGCGACAGTGAGGATTCGGGACGGGGGGCTTCCTCCCTCTGTCGGTTCTCTCTGCTTGCGAGGGGAGAGAAACTCTGGACTCCTCCAAAGCAAGGGTAATTTCTGCTACCGCTGGCCACTGTCTGCAGCTTTACTTTTTAAATCTGGTTTTATTCCCCACGTGGAAACAAACCTCCACACACGGTTTAAGAACAAAGGGGATGAGCGTGCTATCTTGCTCGTACCTGATAGCTGAAATGGGTCACGATAGGAAAACTACATTTAAAAAACGGGACTCAAAGAGAAAGGAACAGGAGATCGTGCCAGACAAAACAAGCCAGATTCAGAAGGCCAAATACCACACATTTTCTTAATATGTGGAATCTTAACAAAAAGAAAGAAGACATGAAAATAGAAAGGAGACGAACAGACAGGAGGGAAGGCATGAGGACAGGCGGGTGCAAAGGGTGTCAGGAAGGGTAAACGGAGGGCGGATATAGTCCAAACAGATAGTACACGTACATGAAAATGCTACAGTGAAACCCAGTGTTTTGTAAAATCAATAGACACTAATAAAGATATTTTAAAAGACTTCAAGTATCATAATTTTGTCTTAAAAAGAAACTGCTTAACTTGAGGGGAATAAAGTGTAGTCTGCAAATTTCTTTTTCTTCAATCAATATATCAAAATATATATATATATCACAGCCAGCATACTCTCTCCTAGAAGCAGGCAATAAACCATGCTGCAGTGGAAAACCACCGTTGCACAGGGCTGCAGAAATATGGCTTGTTGGAAGGAAGCTCATCTCTGCCATGAAATACTGAAAGTGACCCCCCACTTATCAAACTGTACCTCGCATCTGGGCTGTCCAAACACTTGGGTTGGTTTGGAACCACTTGTGGGATCCACAGTCAGCCCTGCCCCTTGATCAGAGCACAGTGCATTGTTGCTGCTGGTAGAGGCTTTTTTTTTTTTTTTTTTTAAATAGTACCACACTCTGGGGGAGAGAGGCCAGTCCACTGTCGGTGTGACACACAGCGCTGCCATTCAGAAAAGGAAAATAAGTAGTCTGGCTGGCATTTTAGCTGCAATCAAATGCATATTTCTCTAGCAAATCTGCATAGTTAACCATGCTATGGACTGCACGTGTCCGCTTGACTTTTCACCTGGGGAGAAAAGTAGCCCTTGGAAATTGGTTTTCATTCAGAAGGGAAGTGTGCCCAGAACTTAGATGTTAGAAAAAAAATTAATCAATTATGTCTTGTTGTGACCCTTTACTACCAGCATTAGGAAGGGTTATCATGTTGCTATGGAAATATTGTGTCTGCTTGCAAAGACGAAGCCCCCAAAATGGTTTCTTGCCTTCATGAATTAATACATTCAGGTGTTATACTATTCCTCCTCTTTCTCTTCTTCTTTTCATAACACCCAATTATGTGCATTTAATAGCACTACAAAACACTGCCTGCACAATTTCCAGAAGTAGCTTATTTGGAAAGCTTAGTGGAAGGGAGAAAAAGTTTTCTGAATATGCCTGACCATGGTAGCTACCGAAAGCTTTCAGGTGAGCCACGCTACTTAAAGAACATGAAACAGTAAAATGTGCCTGAAGAAAAGAACCCACTGCTGGAGATCAGTGTTACATAACCACAGCATGGGGTTGAATCCGCAAGCTATTTTCTCTTGTAACGTTCATACTTCTGAAAGCAAAACTCCCTCTTTGCACCGTGGCTCTCTCCGCTTTGACTCGAGTACAAACTGTGGATTGCCTCTATTTTCGCTAAAGTAGAAACTCTGGGTCAAAGGACTACTCATCTCCCACTGAGTTTTACTCTTGTCATTATATTTATTGGTACTTCTTAGGTATACAGTACAGCTACAATCATCATTGGGATCTTGCACCTTTCATAATATATCTTGGTTCTTATTTTTTTCCCCATTCCCCTGCCCTCTCTTCGGCCCTCTGTGTCCCCCTCCACCCTTCCCTATTTACGAAGACTTCGTTTCCATTTTTTTTCCTTTTCTCATATTATTTTCTTTTCCCTTCTTTCCTCTCCCCTTACTCTCTCCACTTCCCCTATTCCTTTAGCCCCTTTCTTCCTATTTCATATTATCAATTATACGATTTGAACCTCCTTTATACTTTTAGCTTTTCACACCAGAGAAACTATTTGGTATTTACACACGTGTGTCCTATTTATTTCACTTAAGAGTATGGCCTCAATATGCATTCATTTACCTATCAAAGACTCTAGTTTCTCTTTCTTTACGGCTGAGTCATACCAACTGGTCAGAAATGGCTCTCAGGAGACCCAGGATACTTTGTGAGAATTACAGCATTATGCTGGAAGAACGAACGAGCATCCACGGGACAGAAGTCCTCTCCTTTTAACAAAACACCCTGGTGAAGCGAAGCCACTTGGCTAAGAACCTGAGTCATTCCCTTTGAATGAGTTTCCCCTCCTGAGATATGTAAATTTGACACAATGCCCCAGCAAGAAAACTGACAAAGCTTACTTCTACCCACCTTAGCAGGAAAGAGTTAAGGCTATGTTCAAAGGGGAAATATCTGTATATCAAATTTATAGAAGGATAAACTTTCAAAGATATCACCTAGAATCTTTTATTAAAAAGTTTTGGTGTGAATTTCTACTGTCACTACATTTTTCCCTAGAAGACAAATAATAAGTTTTCAAGCATAATTTCTCAACCTCACACCTCAGACATATTTGTTAAGTTGATCCATTGTTCTCTGGGGCTCATTCATTGTTGTACTGGGTAGTTTTGTGCACTATGGGAAGTTTAGCAGAATCTTTTCCACCCTCCCACTGGAAGCCAGTGGTACCAGAGATCAGACAACCAAAAATGTCTGCAGGCATTGATAAATGTCCCACGAGGAAAACTGTGTCATACCCACCACCTGCGGTGTTCAAAGCTTCCCGGACAAGAACATAGGAAAGTGACCCAACATGGTTGGCAAAATGTTTCAAATGAGATACTGTGCAACCACTTTATTTCTACAAGGTCTCTGGAAGCATATTTCTGCTTTCTACTGTGTGCTGTCTCTAGGATTATGAACACATTTGTTAACTGGACCCGCCTTGAGAGTTTGGACTCCAACACAGAGACAATAACAATGGTAATTTAGGTCAATAAGCATCAATGTGATCCATGTGGAAACCAGCAAAGAGGGGAAGTCTTCAGCCCTGAGAGTGTGTTCTAAAGAGGACATGAACTAACACGCTAAAGAGCCAAGTCGAACGAAGAGGCGGGCTCCTTTTTCCCCCACTGCCCCATCAGCACTTGTTATTGGTTGATTTCATGATAGCAGCCATTCTTTGTGGGGTGAGGTAGAATCTCAGTGTTGTTTTCATCTGCAACTCTCGAATGACCAGGGATGTGGAACATTTTTTCATATGTTTATTTGCTGCTTTTACTTCTTTGTCTGAGAAATGTTCTGTTCATTTCTGATGCCCATTTTTGGGGAGGTCTGATTTTTTTTAGTTCTCTATATTTATAATCATAGATAAAGTGAAATAGCAAGAAAAGGGGCAAAGGGGAAGTGGGAGATGTAGGGGAATGGAAAGAAGGGAATGGAATTAATATGAGAAAATGAAAACAAAGTCTTTGTAGACAGGGAGCAGTGGAGGGGTTGAAGGGAGGGCAAGGGAATGGGGAAAAATAAGAAACAAGACAGATTATGTAAAGGTGCAAATTTTCAATGATTAATGTCATTATATTGTATACCTAAATGTACTGATAAAATCAATTAAAGAAAAAGAGGGTGATGTTTTTCTTTCTTGACAGGTGTGAATAAGTGGGATAGAGTGGGACCCACTGGGGGCAGGACTGAATTGATGGGAGGGCAAAAGCAAGATTTCCAGCTTGCCTCTATCCTTTTTCTTTATTTTGCCTTTTCCCATTTGGAGGAGAATCCACTCCAAGATAGTACGCAAGTGCAGATGGGTGATAATTTTAATAGTATGGGTCATGAGAGAAAAATGCAATGAAGACATTAGCTACACACTCTGTTTTGGTAAATTAAAGCAAGTATTATGTTTTATCCCATAGGTGAGAACTAGGTCCAATGAGTGGATAAAACAGAGTGAGGTTTTTGGCTCTGTCAGGAGGAAAGATGCTCTCTGAATTACTGCTTCCAAATTTTGAATTTGACTAGAGTCTATCTTAAAAGCCTCCAAGAGTTCTCAGATGGGATGGTTCGATGATCTTGGATGAGTATTAAATGTAGAAAAGGCAAGAATTTGACATGTTACTACTGCCTGAACAGAAACGGCAGGCATTCCTGCTTTCTCTATATTGTATTTTACATATTTTTATTATTATTTTTTTTATTATTATTATTATTATTGGTAATGAGGATTAAACTAACGTTCTTTGCACTGAGCTACACCCCTAGCCCTTTTTAATTTGTATTTTGAGACAGGGTCTTGCTAAGTCTGCCTTCCACCTGGCAATCTTTTTGCCTCAGTCTCCCCAGTGGCTAGGTTATAGGCGTGTCTCACCAGGCCTCGCTCACTGGCAGCCTTAATCTTCTATCACTCTCCTAACTGCTTTTCTATGGAACCCATTTCCGAGATGACATATCAAGGCCCGGGAATTTCTGACACTTACCTCACTGTGTAGACAAAGATTTGAACCCAAGAAGTGTGGTGGGAAGACAGATTCCCCACTCCCACCCAGAGCAGCAGCCATGCTCTAAGTGCTACTGAGAGACCCCGGGGGAAGCCGTAGATCTTTTGAGGTGATCTGGGAAGACACTGTTACTTTCATGACTCCAGGAAGACATTGTTTGTGTTCAAAATGACCTTACCATTCGTACAGTGCATTTTCTTGGCATCCAAAATGGAGACGATACCATCATCATCAACACTATATTGGGCAGTGGGATGTGCAGTGTTTAAGGTTTTAGAATCACTTCCAGCTTTACCTGCTAATTGGGGACACAGCAGTGGGTATAACCCACACAACATACAAAAGCGCTTTGAGGCCCCCGACTAGCCATGAATGTCCATAAGTCTTGAGACCACAGCATTTGACACTGGGTCAATACCGAAGGTTGTCTTCCCTCTGTGCGTGTGTGTGTGTGTGTGTGCGTGCATGCGTGTGTGTGTGTGTGTGTGTGTGTGTGTCTGTTAGGATGACTAGGTATGTAAAGCAAATTTAAACAGCAATAAGAAAAAAAACCACACAGAAAAAGACACAAACTTAAAAACAGCGGGAAGTATGCAAAGCTATCTCTGTCCTCCCTGTGGCGGAGCTGCTGTTTTCCTCTTAGTTTTCCCCTTTTCCCTTCCTTCTCCTGGCAGGCAAATTTAAATAAGATTTGCAGCTGCCTGTGTGACATTAGCCTGGCCTGCCACCAAACTAATGAAAACAATTAATCAGCACGCTTCACTTAAAACTCCTCGGATTGGTAATAACACTTAAGAAGGAAACCATTGGCAATGTCATACGAAGTTGTATTTAAATTTAAGAGAAAGACATTTCATTTGGAACTTGCTAAATGAGGACATGCTGGGAAACAGGGCCCTTCACTGGGGAGCCAGCTACCTTTCTTGCTGCTGCAGCCAGGAGCTGCTGAGCGGGCGGGAAGGACAGGTGCAGGATCAAAGTGGGGCAGCTGCCCTGTGGCCCAACAGCAAGCCAGTGGTGTGAAGAGAGGGAAGGACTTGGCAGAAGGCTGCAAGCGGAAGCTTGGATGAAATATCTACGCACATTCCTGGTTCCTCAATACGTTCGCTGCTGTTGGTGGGAATGTAAATCCATAAAGCCACTATGGAAAACCACATGACAGTTCCTTAAAAAGCTACAAGTAGACTTGCCAAGCAGCCATTCAGCTCTCCCAGTCCCAAAGGAGAGGAAATCAGTGCATGTATGACACATCAGACAGATCGACACTAGCATGTTTACCGCCACACTCATCTCGGTACCCCAGAAGAGGAATCAAAGTAAATATGTGTGTGTGGATGGACAGATAAAGAAACAGTTGTCTATGGCCATAATGGTATACCATTCAACTGCGAAGAAGAAAAGGGAGAAGGGAGAAGGGAGAAGGGAGAAGGGAGAAGGGAGAAGGGAGAAGGGAGAAGGGAGAAGGGAGAAGGGAGAAGGGAGAAGGGAGAAGGGAGAAGGGAGAAGGGAGAAGGAGAAGGAGAAGAAGAAGAAGAAGAAGAAGAAGAAGAAGAAGAAGAAATCCTGTCATTTTTCAGCAAGACAGATAAGACTAGAGGTCATTATGCTATGCAAAACAAGGCAGGTACCAAAAGACAAATCTTAATGGTATCATTTATAAAGGGAACATAAGAAAGTAAAACTCACATTGGTTAGCAGAGACTGGACAATAAGGAAACAGGAGAGGGCTTGTTGTGGAAGCTAAACAATAAATACAGATCTTATAGAAGAAAAATGTAGCACAGTCATCAGTGCACCGGCAAGCACAAGGGGCAGGGTGGACGGAGAGAGGCTGGATAACGGGAACCAAATTACACTTAGAGAAGTGGATTTAGCTCTGGTGTTCTATAGCACAGCAAGGCAACTCTAGTCTACAATTTTGATATAGTTCAAAGCAACCAGAAGGGTCTGGACAGTCTCCACACAGAGAAATTATTCACCCACACTTGAAGAAATGGAAATACTAATTATCTTGGTCTATCATCACAAGTTTTGTGAAATTATTATGCTGTACCCCATCAAAAAAGGTACAGATATTGTGTGTAAATAAAATAACTTTTCTAAAATGTCCAGTGTCCTTGAATTTCCTACTGGGACAATGAGATGGAGAGGGATGTTTCTGTTTTTGTTTTGTTTTACACTAGTCAACACTAGGAAGTCCCCTGGCAAGATACAGATAACAAGCCTAGCCAGTGGCACTGTGCCAGCATCCAGACAAACTAGACCTCCTCAGCCGTGAGATCGATCAGAGAGACCCAGCCAAGCACTTTGTACCTGTCTTGGGGCAGTGATGCTCCGGCCAGTTTTGCGACTGTGGGAAAGATATCCATGTTGCTTGTTGGTTCATCAATCTCCAAACCAGCCTGGATCACCCTTGGCCATCGAAGGATGCCTGGAACCCGAATACCTCCTTCCCAATTATTTGCTTTTCCTCCTAAAATTAACAAAAGAGAGATAACAGGGAGAGTTCAGTCACTTCGATGCTTATATCTATGTGTTCTTCAATGCACAAGGTGGGAGAGCCCATTTGGAAGAGCCAAGCGCTCCGATTACATGGATTCCATGAGATCCCCAAAATAACACAGTGCATGTTTTAGGGAAAAAAAGAATAAATGACAACATGGTCAACACTATGCGCGACATCTTCAGCACTGTCTGGTGAGTGCGAAATGAGTTTGCAATTAGGGAGAAAAGAATCTCAAAGCCACAAAAACTCAAACGCATGACCTTAGAGTTGCGATGTTAATTCTGCTGGTTACCAAAAGAGGGGAGTAAAACAGTGGTTCCCTCATACATCCATATTCAAATTCCTGGAAACTTACATAGCCAAAAGAACTTTGAGGGTGAGATTAAATATTCTGAGATGAGGAGATGATCCTGAGTTACAAAAGTGGACCCCATTGATGGCTGTGTCTTGCTGGAGGGGCAAGGTTTGTAATCACAGATAAAGAATGGAAGATGCCAGTTTGCTGGCTTTCGACACCGTGTACAGCACCCTGAGCAGATGAAAGCAAGAATTCTCTAGAAGCTGGAAAAAGTGAGAAAGCAGATTCTCCAGGAGAGCCTTCAGAAAAGAGCAGAGCCCTGAAAACACCTTGGCTCTTTTAACTCAGGAAGTCTCATTTTGGACACCCAGAACCACAAGGCAATGAACTCAAGTTGCTTTGAGCCATCAAATTTATGGTCCATTGGTAGAAGAGGCCAAGGAAAAGACCCAGCCCTGTGCCCTTGGACGCAATTCCCACAGTGCCCTGTGTGCTGCTTAAAATAATTATCCCAAGTGCTCGAGAGAAGGGAAAGGAACAAAAGGAGGCCACTGGCATCACAAAGGTCACCTTATCACCAGGCTTCCTTTTACTGGTGAGTTGAGCAAATGAACTTTGTGTACAGAAAGCGGCTAGAACATACTTGGATAAAGCTAGAAAGGGCTTCCAGGAGGGACTAAAGTGAGGAGCTCAGAGTGGAAACAGCGTCAGTAGATGATGTCACAAAATGTCACAGTCCCTCGGGCCATGCATGATTCACTGGCCCTGACCCAGACTCGAGAGCCCCCTAAGCAACCTGCAGAAGTGAGGCTGGCAAAAAGGCACCCAGGCTGAAGTTCACCAATGGCAAGGAAAACAACCAGGTTCAGGCAAAACAAACAAACAAACAAACAGTTAGAAACAGGAGTCAGAGTTAAACAAAGATGGAGCAAGTTAAAAACAAAAAAAAGCAAACACTAATTCTTATTAAAGATATAACGCATGATTCACAGAGAACAGGAATATCACTGAAATTCAGAAAGTTGCATTTTCATGAGCAGACGTCTTGGGAATCTTAAAGTAAGTGTTCGTGGCTAGAAGACAGTGTTTTACCCTTGAACCTTGTAGACTGAATTCTACTCATCGGCGGGAGCTCTCTGTGGTGGACATTCACACGCACATGTAGGGAAAAGTCATACATAAATTCATGATGCCAGTGTGTAGCTTCTTTGCCAGCCTCCAAAGAAAGCTAAAACTCTTCCTCCTACTATAGCTTTCCTTGCTTTCATCTTCTCAGGGTGCTCACTTTGAGGGCAATGATCTAATGCATAGTGTCATTCTTGCTGCAGAGACGCTGCAGCCAAGAAATGTGAGGTTTGACCAATTTGCTGGAGTTCTCTCAAGTTTTCCATAGTACAGCTATAGGAGGAATCCAGGCATGCTAAGGACAGTCTGCCTCACCATTCTCCTCAGGCAAGGCCACAGAATTTTCAAGTGCCTATGTTTCCTTTTTCACTAACTTCTCCTTATCCTCCTCTGTCTTCCTCCTCCTCTACTTCCACCTCCTTCTCCACCTCCTCCTCCACTTCCTCCTCCTCCTCCGGCTTCTCCACTCACTTCTCCTCCCCCTCTCCCTCCCTGTTTTTTTCTTGTGGTCCTGGGAAATGAACCCAGGGTGCTTTCACTCAGCTACATCCCTAGCCTTTCTTCAGTTTCCCCTTCTGAGGCAGGGTCTCCCCAAGTCAGTAAATCACCCAGGCTAGGTTCAAATCTGCCATCCTCCTATCTCAGCCTCTCAGAATAACTGGAATACAGGTGTGAGCCACCACACCTGGCTGCCTTCATTTCTTCCTATTCCAACAAGCTCACACCAGTTTCCCTTTCACTTCAGCAACCACAAGTGAAGGGACCACAAAACAAAGGCCAATTTCATTAAAAGTTCTGATATATATATATCCTGCCCCAGGAATGAAAATCAGAATGAATAAATGGGAAGGTGGGTTCCACTAGTTAAATAAGGAAAAAGTGTCCTTGGAAAGTTTAGTCTTAACATTGGATCCTGCAGCCGGATAAAGAATCTCGGTGGAAAAACTTGAAAAATTTGTAAATATTTAAAGCCAGCCATGCTATGTGCCTAGAGTGTGTAGAAAACATCGATGGATTTCAGGTTTTGATTTGTGCTCCTTCTCCCAAGATATCCTATTGGTATATGCATGTGTTCCAAAATATCTCAAATGAAAAAAAAAAAAATCTGAAATCCAAAACATTTGTATCATGTTGTTGCTGAAGGAGTTTCAGATTTTTTAGAGCATTTTGGATTTTGGAGAAGGGATGTCCAACATATAGACATGTGCACATATATAAAGATATGATATATAGTATAGATTCATATTACATGGAGTAAAATGCCTAGCATATATGAATATATAAGATATATCATTAATGCATCAATAAATATTCACTGGACTAAGAGTCCCTGCACTCTTCAAGTCAACTAAGTAGCAACAAGCTGGTAAATTCCCTCAGAGGGTGGCATCAGGATTGTTTCTCGGCACTCATGATGGTTCAAATCCTGTGCTCATGAACTGCATGCCATGAATGCAAGTGGACAATCTTATCTTACTAACTCCTCACATCTACCCCAGAGGGTGCTACTACCTTCCATCCATTTTATAAACAACAGTCTGTGGCTGATGAGACAATTCCAGCAATGGCTGCTCTAAGACGGCAGAGTAGCAGGCAGGAATGAAGGACTGTGACACTGGGCACATTCTGTATTCTCCCAGGAGTTAATACAGATACATCATCTTGAGGGCCTAAGATATGCCTCAGGCTGTCTTATTGGGGTTCACCAGGTGACAGTGCTAGGCACACCTAGCTGCAGAACCACATAAGAGAGCAGCTGAGAAGCAAGGCTGCCAAACAGGAAATCACAGACATGACCTATGTGTGTGTGTGTCAGAACTCAGGTGCCAGGACGCACCTGCCATTCCCTCTGAGGTTGTTACGCACCCTCCAGACTTCCAAGCTGTGGGAGATGATGTCATAAGGGACTGCTTGATGGACACCTGCTTTGAAAACAAACAAACCAATGCAAGAGTTGCTAGAGAGGCCATGGAAATGGCATGCCCTGCCAGAGTCCAGATCCCAAAGGGAGTTACAAGCCATGCATGTCCAACTGGTGACCACATTTCTACCACAGTGCAAAGAAGGGGCTTCCCTTTGCTCAGGTGAGACAGCAGAGGGGTGTGGAGGGAGCTTTCTTTTGCAGCCCCCAGCCCCATCCACCTAAATACACCTTGAATGGATGGTGTGGTGGCCCCTGCTGTGGTTTTACCCACATCTTTTTACAAATGCATGCTTAGTCTAATACAGATATAGGTAGATACAGAAATAATTACAGATATGTGTGTCCACATGCAAAGGAACAAGTATACATCCTAATTCCACCTGCAGAAAGGGCATGGGAATGTTGACATCTTTATAATCACAAGTCCACCCAGCACCCAGAACTTGATGTGCCATACCACCCACCCGGGAGAGGCGTCTGGATTCCTGGAAGGTGGACAGAAAAGATTCAAATGTCTTGCAGAATTCGAAATCGTTTAGGCAACCACTCCTCTCACTCCCACAGACAATGCTTGGTGACTTGCACAGAACACCAGGGGAGGGGTAAGGAGCACCACTGCCAAGGGATGGAGAATATTCATGTCTTCGGTGAAAAGTCAGGAATGATAAGTAGATGACCTTCGGCTATGAGGTGATGGGTGAGAATGCTACTTCACTTCTGCAGTCTTTATCCACCAAAGCTACAATCCCAGTCCAACTGGGAGAGAAAGACTCAAACCCTGGCGAGGTAAAGCTACACCCATTTTTCTGATAAACCGTTAAACTCAACATAAGCAACTGGGAAGACAGAACTATGCGCAGTGTCATCAAAGTCTCATCTCGTGGTTTGTCACCAATATTGAGCAACTAAACAAGCCTATCAAATAAACACGATCCCATGCAATTTCCTAAAACTCTCAAAGAAATGTTTCTACAACAGCCAGGGAAAAGAAAAACATTTTTTAAAAACTTTCAGCAGATGGCACACACAACCAAGCACATGCTGCCTATGGGAAAACATGTCTGAGGCTGCAGGATAGCAGATTTCCAGGCCCATGTGAAGAGCAAATATCCCTGATTGTCACATGATGTGGTCTGGAGTCTCGTTCCTCCTGCCATAATAGTAAGAGTAGAAGGTATGCACTGTGTGTGCCCTTCGGGCTTTGAAATCTCAGCATCGGTGTTATTGCTCCCAGAAATGCAGTGGGTGAACTCTGTCTGGTTGGTTGACTCATTCAGCAGGAGTAAGCAACAAGTTACTCTCTTCAGGAAAAACAGTGGAACTTACCAAACACCTGGAATGATTCAAGCTCATTGCGTTCATAGCTCATTTGGTGCTCATGTGAATCTTCAAGATAGCTAACACCTTCAGCAGTTGAGCAAAGTTGGTCGAATGTGACTTAGCAAGTAATAGTTGGTACTAAGTAGCATTCCACAAATCAGTCCTACAAAACTCTATCCTTTACTGATACTGGGATCCTCAAAGAAGATACAAAGATAGGCATGTGTCTCTTGCCCTACAGAAACTCACCTCAGTGAGCTCAAAAATACCTCCACACAATGCTGGTCTGGTGCCTGCTAG